TGTGCAGTGGATTTATAAGGTTTTGTAAAGTGGGTTTTTTTCATGTTATTTTAGTGTTTATACTCTGCCTCTGTCAGTCGCTTGAGCCTCTTCTTCCATGTAATTCTTAGAATTGCATTATGCAATGTGTTGTTTTTCAAAACTAGAATTTGTTTTGACTTTAGCTTGCTGAGACTGTGGAATTTGTATTTATATTTTGTGGTCATCTTATGACAAGATCCACCCTGTTTAGAAGTCAAATGGAGACTCAACAGCAGGCATGAAAGGCCAACAGATGCCCCAACATGAAGGGGAAGAAAAACAGAAGGAGAGAGCGAGATTAAAAATGAGATGCTCGGGGGATTATTAAAGGGCATTAAAAAGACACAAGAGATTATTCTGATGGTGGTGACGCCAATCTAAGGTCAGCAACAGAAACAGTCCAGCAGACAAACATAAAAGAACAAACAAGATAACAGGAACAAGAGCGCACAGAGTTTAGCGCTCCGTGGGTGCAATGTGAGGATTCACATGAACGCTACTCTCGTGTTGGCAGTTCAGTTCAGTAAGAATTTATGTAAGTGCCTTTTATTGTGTGATTGGAGCTTCTTGACCTGCTTAAGTCTGTATGTGTTCAAAGTAAACAATCTTTGCTCATATAATCCCCTGAGTACCATTTGCACCCCTTCCAGTAGTTGCAGATGGTGTGAGAGGGAGATTGACTTTACCCTTTGGTTTAGGAGTGGAATCGACACCAGGAGAGAATCACTGAGCAGCGGAAGCCATGAAAGCAACGATTTAAAGAGCTGTGTTACAGTGTGACTCTTACCTTCATAGTGTAGTACCACTTGAGCCATAGGGGCCAGCCACCCCATTCAAAATCAGGCAGTGACAGACTGTTGCTGAACTGAGATGAGAGGCGAAAAGAAATTCTGAATTTGGTTGCGAACCTTTATTCCCACACTTAACAAGCCAGAGAAGACTCCAAGACCCTACTTACTTTTAAGTCAAATGAGGTCTAAAAAAGAAGCAAGACCCTGGGAAATGGTAGCAGTAGCACTGGGGTCCAGTTTGGGACATGCATTGAAAAGGGCAAAGGTGCTGGGGCAGATCCCTCTGCCTCGAGAACGGCACTGTTGACGGAAGGGAGTTCGGGATTCTTTCGGACAGCGCAGGTCAAACACGGGGTACAGAAAGAAGCAGGGGTCGCAATGCAACATCTACCCAAAGCGCACAAAGCCAGCTTTTCATCCCCCCCTCAGGCCATTCCACCAAGTCCATAATTGTCTTTGACAAAACTCATTAGCAGAGACCTTGTAGCAACATCGGCAATCAGAAATTCCATGGAGGGAGACATGCACAGGAACAATGTCCCACACACATTTCATTGAGCCTTTTGACAAAATGTAATGAAGTGTGCATATTGTCCTCCTCATCTGAACTCTGAGCCACTGGTACAAAGACTTTGTTTTACGAGCCTTAGCGGCCCAGCGTGGGACACATCAAATGGCACCTCCATGCTGCCTCTTTTGTCAGACTAGAGGGCAAATTATTGTTTGAGATGTTGTTGTTGTTGTTGTTATTATGGCTCCCATTTATACGAAGAGGCCGTCGCCATCATGTCAGAATACTTCATATTATTTTTTAAGCCGCAGGCACATGCTCATTAAGTGGGGGCCTGGATGTAAAGAGCATGTGATGGATGGTCCTGACAGTGCTTTGTCAGAGGTTAACCCCTCATTGACCTACAGTATTATATCGCACAACATACAACAGTAAACTGGTCCCAGCCCCTTTCAGATCTTGTTTAAGAGAAATAGAACAGATAATAAATACATACAATGAGGACATTTTAAACTATTTAGCATGTATCTCTAAATAACTGTGTTTCACTGCATCTATAGCTGCGAGACAATTCAGCTGTCAGTTGCATTCATGTGGATGATTTGACAGTTGAGATAACCCTTGAATTTAAAATTACTCAAATGCACATGAAGTTGTCTGTAGTCCAAAACAGTTGAGCTACAACAGGCTTGCTTTATTATAAAGTAAACATTTGAATCTGACATTCTAAGCAAAGTGAAGATCACATGCTCAAACACAATTTACAAATCGGTGTTTTCGGTTACATGTACATATCTACACCTTCAACGCAAGAAATTCTCATCACTGATTCCTACTGCTTCGTCTGAGAGAGAGACTGAAAAAATAGCAGACCATCATGGAGAAAAAAATGACGCCTATTATTATTCCAACTCTATTATGTATTTTATGATACTCACAGCAAAAAACAAAAGTTGAAAGGTGACCTTAAAAATTTTAAGTAAACAAAAAATAACTCTACCGGCTGTTAAGGATATAAAGTTTCTTTAACTTGTCTCAAATAATTCAGTGTGAGTGCTAAATGTCCCAAGCACTGACTTTAACAGAACACCTGTCATTTCTGACAGTAAACTGGCCTATTGACTTGAAAGGAGCATATAGGATGCAAGCAGCAAGTTGGCCCAGAAAAGATCAGTGATCCATGACAGTAGAGGAGGGGTGGGGGTTGACTGGAGCATACACTTCTGGAGGTGTTTAATAACAGACATACGTATGAGTATAAAGACACCCTCTGACTTCACACAAACGATGGTCACAGATTAATAATGTCAAACCTTTTCAAGTGCTCATGTTCACATAGCTTGTTTTTCTTCTTCTTCTTTTTTTTTTGCAAATTTGTGTCTCATTCACAGATTATCTAAAATCTGTTTTGGATTATGCAAACATGCTCTCATAGGCACCCGCCATCTCCCCCTCCCTCATGAAAAATCAAATTTACCAAGAGGGAAACATGTATTAGGGAGATTCAGCTGTGCATATATAGGCTACCTAAGGAATTTATTATTCTGAAACGTTGTAGTTTGCCACAGATTTCATGTCTCGCCTCAGATTAAAGATGTCAGACAAACAGAATGTCTTGTGTTTGCCTCCTCCCCCTGTGTCCACCAGCACCATAACACCGAACTGATGTTAAACATCTATTAATTTATCCATACATTCGCTTAAAGGTTATTTTATTCCATTTTTTTAAATGTTGGTTTTCTCACAATATTATAGATGTGGTTTCTGATCCATGGCATCCAGACCAGTTTAGCCGGCTCATGTGTCTCTTCATTATCTGCTCAGCTGCTTTAAACCATATGTACAAAGTTTTTATACAGTGTTTTTACTAAAAACACTGTATAATATGGGACCGGCAGACTAATTGACCTGTTAGCTGCTTCATGCGCGCGCTGCTATATGAGCCCATCATTCCCCCAGGTACGTCACCGTGGTGGTAATCCCATTGCGCATGCATCATTACCTTCAATAGCACAAGGCAGCTTTTCTTTACAACCTCCGCTTTAATTAAATTTGGCTGTAAATATTTGATACACACCTACCCTACATTTGAACGTAAAGAGCATCGCATCGGGCGTCATGACTGATTAGTGTTGAGGAGGAGGAGGGGGAGGAGGAGGAGAGAGTCTCCCTGCTAGCAGCTTGTCATTAGCAGACGGACTGTTACAGTATCGGCCCCTGACTGACTCGTGACGGCTAAAAGCTGTAATTATTCTACACAGTGAACTGCCTCCTGTTTTCCTTCACTTATTTTGCAGGACATTTCTGTTCCCAAATTATTTTTTTCCCCTCGTTCATTCAGCTGTCCTTCAATTGAAAATATATGATCAACTGTAAAGGATGCCAATCGTGTTCACGTGTCCTCTTCATCGCGTATGAAAGCATGACACCTTTGAAATTATAGGCTGTGTTAGAAAATATACGTGTTTTTGCCTTCAACCTCACACAGATCATTTGTAAATTCTCAGATTAACACAGAAAGAAAAACTCAACTGGGAAAAATAAATCTAAATAGGCCTAAATTATTATTCCTGACCTTCTTCATCCTCTTCATTCCCGGATTTACCAGGTTCGGTGCATTACTGACGGCTCCGCCATTGGCCAAGGACACATAGGATGACCACAGCGCCTGTGAATTTAGCCTGAATTGCCTTAATACGGAAAATACTTTTATTACGAGCATAATCCCACAAATAGCCTACGACCTCAAATTACATTTTGCGAGGCCGTCTCGGCTCTTTGCAGGTATTGTTTCAGTGGTGGCCTGGAATTAAATTTAGTCATCACATCTCAATATTCACCAGCTGATGTCATAGTAATTCACTGGTTTCAGGAATCTGACGGGAGATAAAGTCAGAAAGCGTTTCCCTCATCAGAGTTTAATGTAATGTTTAATAAAGTAACATAACAAGTTTCACAAGCTTGTCAAACTGGATTTGTATATTTTTTATGTGCATGTTTTTCAGTAGAATAGTTAAAAAACAATATCCCAACCTCAAGTGTAGTTTCAGCAGACTTTTGTCGTTTGATACGAAACTGTTTGATTTTAAAAGTTTGAAATGTGAGGATGAACAAGTTGTTGAGCCCGTCAGTGCACATCATAGACTAAAGTGATCATCTTATTCCAGCTGTCTGTAGGAGAGTCACCAAAGCCAGCCCATAACGAGATGGACTATAGGCAAAACAGCCAAATCAAAGGGACTTTGATGGACCATGTGAATTTCTCTGCCGGGTTTGATCCTACAAATGACCTTTTAATTAACACAATGTTAAGTTAGTACAGCGGCTCACTACACAGGGGACAAAGCAGCATTCATCCTATGTCCCTGCCTCGCTGCCTGGCCTGAACAGTAACAAAGTGTTCGGTGCCACTTCTGATTAGATGCTAACAATAGAGGGATGATGTCCCCTTTCTTCCGCAACTTGTGGATTTCACTCACGTCCTTAGTCCTCTGAATTATGACCTTCCATCAGCGCTGCGGCTTTATGCGTCGAGTCAAGATGATCAACTTTGATCAAATGCGCATCCGCAAATGTTTTAATTGGCCGATTGGAAGCTGGGCTCTATAAATAACCATGACACAGACAACGAAAGCTCTTGGAAAAAAATTGTATTCTTAGAAAAAAAAAAAGCCATGACAGGCAAACACAGAAGAAGCTCACATTTTAACACAATGACAAACATCCTCCACGCGCAACACAGGGGATCCGGTCCTTTTATGGTCAACTTTATGTCCAACAAGCTTTTCCTTATTTACTTCAGGCAAAATGAAACGAAGCCACATTAAAACGCAACAGGTAACAAAACACTCAAAGAAGATACGAATTCAACCAATAAACACGTCAGATAATAAAACAAACAGACAACATAACAAAATAATAAATACACAGAGAAATAAATAGGTTAGCTACACTACACGATTGCCATACACAAATCCGGCCGTTTTAACTTGGCCTTTCTCACACCTTTGCATCTTGAATTGTTTGCATAAAGTCTTTTACACCATAAAAACAAAGTTGTGCAAAATGATAGCCACGCCCACAGTTTGACAGCCTCCCACTGCAGCAGCGCCAGGTAGCTCCCATGTGTCACACTGAGGCCGCTACTCGGCCAGTGTGTCCTTTAGTGCATAATACATGTCCCATTCTTTATTGTGGTACAGTGTCCAGCAATCTAAGAGAGGGGGGGGAAAACGGAATTAAAATCAGGAATAAACACTCTTTATAAAAAGGTATTATTGTTTCAAGTTGATTGCATTAGAAATGTTAATATTTTGTCTCATACACTTCGATGTTTATTATGAATTACTTTTGCCATCATGCATATTAGTAACCCATCACTTCAACCTGAAGGTTATTATATTTATATACAATAAAATATTGAATTTAGCAACATATATTTCACATGAGTGGTCAATGCTGTTGTTCTGTACCCCATGTTTGTGTGTGGACGTGTGTGAGGGTCCATGTGTGTCGTGACTTTGCTGGTTTCTTTCAGTTCAGTGCAGACTCTCACCTGCTTCACCTCTTCATCACTGGTCTGAACGCAGTGACCTTGTCATCCTGCAGGGTCCCGCAGGCTTCACTGAGGTCAGATGACTGTGTCTCTGCTTTGCCACCAGAGAATCCTACACAACCAAATAAAAGCATATCTAAGAAACTTGCCTCAGGAGCAAGATGGCAGAAAGTGTCTCCTCACTTCATAACCCTAAATGGACTTTTCTATAACAACATATGGAACATTTTTTTAAACATATTTGGCAAAGCTAGTGTTCCTTACTGTTTACCTCTCTAATTTGATCCCTTGTAATATAGTGCAGGTATATGATGACATACCTTCAATAGTGGAGTACTGACATGTATCTGGGAGGGCAGCATAGGATGAACAGTGCAGTTGGAGGTCCTTGTGACTGTAGCTGCCAGTGCCGTAGACTTTTGAGTGCAAGGATAAGCCCTCGGAGAATGGGCTCTCAGTATTGGTGATGCTGCTAGAGTCGTGGAGGCCTCTCATGCCCCCACACTGTCCGGTAAGCCTGGTGCTCTGGAGCTGGCAGTCCCCGGTTGAGTTGCCTGTCCTCAGCTCCGAGCCATGCTGCTGAGGGCTCAGTATGAACCCCGAAGCTGCCGTACGAGCCAGAGACCAAATCCGAGGCTTATCCGATGCTTCAAAGTGAGACAGGGACAGTGTTCCTGCGGGGCCGGTCGAAGACGGTGCCTTGGACAACGCCGGGTCCAGGAAGTCAGACGGGAGAGGAGAAAGGGTGTTGACACTTTTGATGGCGCAGGGGAACGTGTGAAAGCTGTTGGTTAAACTCAGGTGCAGCTCGGAGCTGCAGTCTCTCTTATGAGGAGCTCCGGATACTGCCATGACCCTCTGGAGGTCCTGCTCATCTGCAGCCACCTTTTCACAGTCACTGTCCAACTTGTCACAGTCGTCGTCATCCATGTCCTCCAGATCACTGAGATGCAGATCCTTCTCCTCCTTGCAATCACTAGAATCTGCATGGAAGAAAGTGATTAGCACAGTTTGAAAAGTTGTTGATATTGTGAACTCATGGGGACAAAGTTTGTTCAGAAAACTTTGAAATGTAAATATACATGTTACCCTTTGTGGTCCGTATGATTGGTAACTGTATTCACTTATATTTAGTGTAAGTAAACTTTTTGCCACCAAAATGAATGATTACCTTTGGTGACACAGTCTTGGTCGCTCTTAAAGTCATCCTTCCTGTCGTCATTGGCCTTATTCTTTGGTGACCAGGTCATCTTGTTCTCCTTCTTTAGCCTCCTCCTGGCGTTGGCGAACCAGGTGGAAACCTGGGTGAGGGTCATTTTTGTGATGATGGCCAGCATGATCTTCTCTCCTTTGGTGGGGTATGGGTTCTTCCGGTGCTCATACAACCATGTTTTCAGGGTGCTGGTGGTTTCACGAGTTGCATTCTTTCTTCTGGCTGTGCCATTAAAGTCTACTGTCCCGTATCTGGAGAAGGTTCATACAAACAGACAGTGTCCATTAGTGCATTATGAGAAGGATGTATAGACCACTCACTCAGACATCCTTTATCCCTACTCCCTGCTGTTAGAAATACATGCAGCTTCCCTCCATGCAGGTATCAGTATGGAATTACACTCTGACCCTTGATCTGAATGCAGCATATTCACCCTGTGAAAGGTTAGTGTCCCAGGTCTGCTGACGCTCATATGACAGAAAGTGGAAAAAAAGAAGATATAATTTACCTGTCGTATTGATACTGTCCCAGTGAATGGTCGTAAGGATAGTATGCAGCGGTTTGAGTGATGCCGGAGTGTAAAGTGCCTGTGCTGTCCTTAATGTCATACTGTGGATTCTGTAAAAGAAAAAGTAAAAGGTTGTTGTAAGTATGCAGCATTTATTAGTTCTCAGCATTTTGAGGATTTTTGAAAATATTAATGAAGACATTTGCTATTTTCATGCTCTTAAACAAGAATAACCAAAAGTGAAAAAAGGACATGCCATCAATATGTGTTTATGTATCTTAACAGGTTTAAAGAGCAATGTTTGTATCCTTTATTTATTTTGTTATTTTTTTGCAGTTGAAGACACTATGTTCAACATTTCCATGGACAGAAAATCTTAGCTGACTTTGGGTTTTTTAAATGAATAAGAATAAAGAAAGAAAAGTCACAGCTGCACTGTGAAATATCCATTTAACAAGTCTTTTAGTCCATTCTAAAATCTTACTTTCTCAAAGTGAATTTTTCTGAGAGATGAGTAACATAATTCAACTGCTTTAAGAAAATGCTGGTTCATAAACAGACACAAGAGCCAGTGTTTTTAAAACAAGGCAGAATAAGGAGGATTACATGATGATAATAATAAAATGACATTTGATTCAAATGAGACAAGCTCCTCTGCATTGCTTCTACACTATTACCTTCACCTAAGTGACGGGATTTTTGATTTGCTTTTAAAGGGGGAGAAGATGAGACTGGATGCTGGATTTAAACGGCTTGTCGAGACGGATACGTTTACAGTGTGAGATAAATTGATGAACAAAACACAGTTCATCGATTAGCCTGAACCCCCCCCTCCCCTTTACGCATCAGATGAGGCTAAAGTGAGCCCACCAGAGTGGAGTAGATAGCGGATGGGTCGGTGCTGTAGGGGAAGTAGTTGGCGTAGTTCTGGCTGGCGGCAGCCGCTGCGGCGTAGGGAGAGCTGTACATCCCCAGCGCTGCGTTCAGCTCCGTCCGGCTGCTCGCCAGGAGCCGGTTCTCGTAGGACGGGCAGCAGAAGGAGGCAGCGGTGGCGGCGGCGGCGGCGGCAGCGGCGGTCTGGGAGCCGCCTGTCCCATCAGAGACCGACCTGGAAATCGAATCGCAGCAAGTCGTACTGGGGTTTGCCGACACGAAAAACTGCATGAAGAGAATCGTGGATAGACATGGTCATTGGCTGTTTCAGCTCTTATCTGGATGCCTGTGACAACTCTGAAGTGACTGTGGGTGATGCGCTGCAAAATATATATATCCAAGTTAAGTTGCTCAGGCAGTGTAGTGTTGAGCCTTTAAATTGAAACGTGTGAAAACGTGAGCTTGCCTTAAGTTCACCTCAGTTAAATTCTCCTGAATCATGTGTCATTATCGAAACGTGTGAGCTGCCTTAATTCAAGGTAAGTCACTTTTCAGAGGACTCCTGGAATGAGAGAAAGTAGCTTACTTTGTGAAAACGTGTAATAAGCGATAGCACCTCATTGTCCCTATGTATTCATACAAAATGGAATTATTATTATTTTTTAGTGGATATTAAGATGGAAAAATGTGTGCGCAATCCGTGCGTAAAAGTGACCTGCTCCAGTTTATCATCGGTTTCAAAATTAGATAAGAGAAATCTAAGGTAATATCACTGTGCAAGTAATTCGCCACCGTATCACAAATTAGTAATATTTAAATTCTGTACAAAATGTACTGATTGTTAAAAATATTATCGAGATAAAAGTTCGGTGACAACTTTTCCATGAGAGTAACTTTTGTCCCCTGATCGACATGAACTTCTTCAAACTTGTCATTCAGCGCAATAATAGTGTCTTTAAATGTAAATAAACGACTTTAATTAAGTTTTAAAAGCTGGCATTAGAATGCAAGGTGTCTGACATCCCACACGTCTCATTAAAAGAGAAAGTTTGCGAATGTGTACAGCATGCGTTACAGCCCAATTACACCTCGTAGTGAGCAATATGTGACATTCATCTCTATTGTCATCAGAAAAACACGTGAGTTCATTCATAATTCAGTGTAATTGGACACGGGTGCGTGTATATCGATATTTGGTTCAACAACAAAAGCACCACACGAAAATAGTAGTCTTTGTCTAAGAAGTCCCTCAGCCATTAATGTTTCTTATGGAGAAAAATGCTCTGACTATAGTGAAATACAAGACAATATGCACACAAAAACATTTGGTGTGTGTGTCTGTGTGGTGTGTGTGTGTACAATACTTAGAAGAAATAAAAAGCAAAGAGGCTTACCTGGGAAGTTGCATTGTAAGGGTATCCAAATTGCGAGAAAGACATAGCTGCTTCTTTTGTTACCATCAGCAATATTCTTCACCCTTGATCGATTGCAACCAATTCTACTTCAAATCCACCGTCTTACACACATTTCCACGCACGGCCTTTCGCTCAATAATAGATGACTTCACTCATAGGAGGGAGACTTTAGGATGGCACCAGCTGCAGATTGTTTTATATGAATGAATAATCCCCCCCAAAGGACCCGATAAGAAATGAAATTAAGCGTCATTAAGTGCAAAAAAAATTGTTGTTGTGTTAGCTGAAGGAGGCTTAAAGGATAACGTAAGACTTGCAAGATATAGACTCTGCTTGTGCTATTATTTGTGGCTCTATAGTTCTTTAGCATTCATCCATGCAAGGGTATCAGCGTGACGTCACTGTAATCCCGGAACGGCAGGGTACCAAGGATAGAATAATGTCTTTGCCAATCACGTCCAAGGCAGGGGTTTCTTAAGGTGCACTGTACACAGTCTTGTTCCGCTTTTGTAATATAATTCTTCTTCACCGATTTGCTGAGATAACATCTCCGAAAATTGTTTTTTGTTCATTATTATGGAATTGTAACTTGGCAACCTATGGAAACCCTTTGTGAAGTTTAATGCATTTGACACTTACACATTCAGCAAGAGAGATTACTTATTCTTGTTCTTTTTTCACCCAGGCAAATAGCAAACAATTTAACAACAAAGTATGCTGGGTATTTTCTGTTTCAAACAGTTTCTTTTATTTACAATCCATCACAATTAAAGCAAGTCGAATAAGCACATTTTCTTTCTTTATTTAATCTCGACCTCTGTTCGCCTCTGGCTCTCTGGCCAGAGGTCCATCCCGGAGTTAATGACGATGATGTTTCTATCTTTCTCTATTAGAGAGAGGGGCAGTCCCAGCAGGAACGGTTAGAGGGGTTTTGGGCAGGTCAATAGACCAGTGATTGATGCGCGCCTGGAGACCTACGTGACCATTACGCGTAATGCGTAATTGTATCAATTAACAAATGGATACATGCCCTTGTTTAACCAACGAGTAACAGAGTGAAAATATGCCTTAGAGGTGAAATCCGAAGAGCTGTGCTAGAAGAAAAAAAAGACAGTGGAAGCCCTGCTCTCCAGTCTAATTAAATATCCGTGGATGGGGGCGACGAGAATTGCATTTTAATTGAATGATGCTCACTTGAAAGATGGGTAAGGAATGATGCTGCCTCACAGTGAATGAAACGAGAAATAATTTTAAGCCTTATTAGATCAGCAGCTCAACCATCACCAGTTCTCTCGCTCTCTCCCATAAACGTAAACAAGCTGTGTCTCCTCCTCGTGTGATGTTGAGCTGGGAGAGGGGAGAGAGGGAGGGGGTTCTATTATTCCCCCTATACACACTACATTTGTATTGACAGTGACAGCGATGATCAGTCCTACTGAGTCATACGATCTGCCTGTTTCTGATTATCTAGGGCTGTGTAAGGTTTCCGTTGTCACGACTGATACCTTGTGCCAAATTCCCCGGTGCCCTGCCGTTCCATAACTGATGTATGGCATATCCTCCCTTGGAGACGCATCTGCGATTATGGGCTTCCTCTCCGAGGGGCGCTAAAGAGCCGCGTGTAGAAGATGGAGATCTCCCGTGAAGATATTTTCCACAGAGATAAAGTGGACAGAGTGGTCATGGTCCAGGCTCTGGACAGTGCCTGAGCAGTAAACACCCACAGGCAATAGCAACTCTCACACACACACTGCAACTTTGGTTCTGACAAGTGCTCACTGCAGCTAAGACAACTAAGTTACTAAGTTACAACTAAGAACTTGTTGGTCCTCGAAACTAAAAAAATGTCCCCTATGTTACAGAAATGAATGAAACCTTTCACGTGGTAGAATTACTCTTTGAATAATCTTCTCCCTGTTCCCTAACTTGTTGATTCTTTCACCAGATAAGAGCCAGGCTCATTCTGCACCCAAACATTTCGAGTTGCAAAAACTCACACAAAAATGAACGCAGTGCAAACAACTTAAAATCCAGTATCTACAAGTGAAAGGGACAGGCCAACTTGATTATAGTATAACTATTTTCAACTATAGACTATTCTTTTGTCATGAATGAAAACAGTCTGAGCACAAAAAGTGAAAAGCCACTGCACTATACGGCTATTTGCAGTGTTCTGGATAAAATAGTGGCAACCACGTATCTCTACTTCTCATCTACTTCATGAGGTATGAAAAACAGCCCTGTTTACTGCTTTGTGACAATGCAGTTTTCAGATAGTTCAGTGGCTCTTTGACTTGTTTAATGAGCTTAAGAATTAGGTTGTATAATTTTCTCAAACCCGAAATGAACACTAAACTTTCAGTTTGTCTATAAAAATTCAGAATCACAAAATTTAGAGACACATTGTTTCATGTGGACAGTGGAAAGAGCGGCAGATGTCAACAATAGGCAGTGTTTAACACTTAACTGTCCATTTACCATCAATGATGGATATCAGAACTTTTTTATCAAAGGATAATGCACATTTTCATTAAACCATTATTCCATAGGACAATGTGCACACAGAGAAGGTTGAAACAAGCTAAATGTAATTGCATGCCGGTGGTCGATGCTTTTCTACAAGGGCGTGCATGATGGCCCAAGTGCATATGGACAGACTCATGCATAATGCATGTCCAGCAGTCAGCGTAGATCTCACTGAATCAGGCCAAAATTAACACTAATTGTAATGGCAGACTGGCCGCAGTGCCCTACCCTTTAAAATGTGTGACAACCCCAAAATGAGACATTTTTACATTGTTTCGTCTGGATTACTTAGTACTCACATTGTTACAAGGTTTTGTTTTTTCAGCAGCTAAATGGCTGACTACAATAATTAGTGATTCCTCCTTCTCAGATGGTTTTTTTTTAATGAAAAAAACTTTTGTCAAAGTCTGTTTTAGAGGTTTTATTTCAATTCAATTTATTTTGTATAGCCCCAAAACACAAATGGTCCAGGTATAACCATGATCCAAGGAAACCTGTGAGGCAAGAAAAGCACAAAGACTCCGGGGAAGAGGCAAAGTTAGTAATGTGCATTAAAGGTACATGAATTGATACAGACGGAGAGAGAGAAGAGGAGAGAGGAGAGAGGAGTATCCTAGGTCTAAGTCCCCTGGCAGCCGAGTCCTGTTGCAGCATATCTCGGGGCTGGTCCAAGGCAAGCCTGAGCCAGCCCTAACCATAATCATTATCACAAAGTAAAGTCTTAAGCATATACTCTTAAATGTAGTGAGTGTGTCTGCCCCCTAGACTGAAACTGTGATTCCACAGAAGAGGAGCTTGATAACTGAAGGCTCTGGTTCCCATCCTACTTTGTGAGACTCTAGGAACCACACGTAACCCCACATTCTAAGAGTGCAGCAGTGGGGTAATAGTGTACGATAAGCTCCTTAAGATATGATGGTGCCTGACCAATTAGGGCTTTGTAGGTGAGGAGAAGGATTTAAAATGTGACTTGTGATTTTACATGGAGCCAGTGCAGAGAAGCTAATACAGGAGTAATATGATCTCTTTTCTTAGTTGTTGTTAGTACACGTGCTGCAGCATTCTGGATCAACTGGAGAGATTTAAGAGACCTATTAGAGCAGCCTGATGATAAGGAATTGCAGTAAGCTAGTCGAGAAGTAACAAATGTGTGAACTAATTTTTCTGCATCGCTCTGAGACAGGATGTGCCTGATTTTTGGAATGTTACGTAGGTGAAAAAAGGCAGTCCTTGAAATTCTTTTATCTGGAAGTTAAAGGACATATCCTGATCAGAGATAACTCAAAGGTTATTTACGGTGCTGCTGGATGCCAGGGCAATGCCATCTAGAGAAACTATATAATTAGATAATTGATTTCGGAGGAGTCCTGGGCCTAGTAGAATAGATTCAGTTTAACATCTGATAGTTTAACATCAGAAAGTTGCAGCTCATCCAGGTTTTTATGTCCTTAAGGCATACTTGACGTTTAGCGAACTGGTTGGTTTAGGGTACTACATAGAGTACTACTCTCCCATAAGAGCAATATCACAAAGTGCATTTTTTTTTTAACAGCAGGATTGTGTAACAGCCATCCTTAAACTGTTACGCCCTGTCTCAGGCCGCACACACCACCCTGTTTAAATCGTGCATCATTTGTTTCAAATTTGATGGTAAAATAAAACTTGGAAAGAAGGTGGAAGAAATCAAAGAATCTTCTTTGGAGGACCACATTTATGGGGAAAGTCACTCAAGTGACAACACAAAGCCCACCATGAAGTTAAGAAAGTAAAAGTAGTTTTGGTTTAATTTCCAATGTTTAGCATCCTGCAGACCTGCATTCTCATGATGCAAAACAAGTCTCCATTTCTTTATTTGAAACAAGCTGCAACAAACTACGGCAGTTGGAAATCGAAGACATACTATCTGAACCAAGACAGGTCATGCAGAACATTTAACTACTCGCAGACAAAAGGCATTCACACTTACAGTACATTCACGCACATATTTAAGAGTAAGCAAGTCCAAACCTCAATTATATCTTGTTCTAACCGGATCCATGCGGTTACTAATGAGACTGAGTATTGCATGCATCCTCCATTAGAAGCATCACTGGGTGGAAAAAGAAAGAAGAAAAAAAAAAAGGAAAGGTTAAGTCAACACTCAATAGCTCCCAGCCCTATTCTCCTACTTAATACATTTCCTATGCTGACTTAATGAACCACACAAAGCCTTTCTGGTTTTTCATCAGATGGGGGGTAGTAGCGGCGGTGGTGGTGGAGGTGGAGGGGGGGTGTATGAAATGGTAATAAGGGCAGGCAGACGGAGAGATGGAGGGAGAAGCCCGAGCCGAGCGGAGGATGAAACTGCACCTACCTGGAGGTGTGTGATCTCATTAAAGCCAAATTGGTATATGCCAATAAATCCAAGGCACTTGCGATCTGGAATTATTACACTCACGCACACATACACTGCATACACACAAACCTCCCCCGTGAAGAGCAGTTATACTTCAAAATTATCCAAAATGGAAAGAAAAGTAATGAATATTGTAATGAGAAATAATAGAGCAATGGGCGGATACGGTCACAGCAGTGGCCGGCCGGTTAACACCAAAACAAACATACCCAGGGCTGCTGAATAATTACAGCACACAGAAGGAGTCATTAAAGCTTCATCAAACAGAGAAAAAAGAGATAGGGCGAGTGTGACATTATGACGACTGTCTCAATAAATCAATCTGGTGTGGTGAAAAAAGAAAAGGACGATAACTGATGACGGTACAAGTTTGATTGCTGTTCATCTAGTGCC